TCTACGAATCAGGGTTATAGAAATCAAATCACTTCTCCAAGTGTCCATCCAAGAAACCACGACCGAGGATCAATGAACGTTGAACACACAAATGAACGTTGACTCCTGCAATCAGGGCATGGCACCATCCGTCCTTTTATCCCCAGAAGATGCCCCTAACGAGCCCCAGCTGCATAGTTAATCTTGCATCCCGAAAAGACTCACAGAAGACTGCTGCTGCGTGACAACACATACATACATACATACATACATACATACATACATACATACATACATACATACATGTATGCAGGTCTTGGCGCATTTGGGTCTTTTCCTGTGTAAGATTGACAGTATCTTGGCGATGTTTCAACGAGGTCACACTCGTCATCTTCAGGCTGGTGTCTTTGGCTTCGTACTTGTGCGAGCAAAGCGTGATCGGAGCTGCCATTTTTCTATAAATATAGGTATGTGTGTGTGGAATGTTGGCTTTGTTGTTTTAAATGGATTTGTTGGCTGTGTTTAAAGCAAGAAAGCCAACATTCCACATGCCCCCCACCTACATTTATAGAAAAATGGCAGCTCCGATCACACTTTGCTCGTACAAGCACAAAGCCAAAGGCACCAGCATGAAGATGACGAGTGTGACCTCGTTGAAACATCACCAAGATACTGTCAATCTTACATGGGAAGAAACCCAAATACGCCAAGACCTGCATACCTATACCTGTGAAAATCTATAAAAATATACACACACATGCAGACATTGTATATATGTGAATGAGAGAAAGAGAGAAAAAAATACTAGATTTGTACACCACTTAATAACCAAACAGAGGGATTCCATCGATATTTAAAGTTTTCAGAGAGTTTCTTAAATTTATGGTCATTTAATTTTGGGTGTATATTCAGAAAGTAATATAATATTATTTTTCACATTATATCCTAAGTGTTCCTATCATTAAAATGGGTAAACATTTACCTGAATCACAATTCTTCTCATCCTCTCCCAATATGCAGTCATCATATCCATCACATTTCCATTTTGCTGCTATGCAATGACCATTGGAGCACTGAAACTGGTCTTTTAAGCAGTCAGAGTCACAATATCTCTGATATAAAAACAGTACAACTAATTTAATTAATATAATACCAATCAAATATATTTAAAGTAAAAACAGGCCTTAATATATTTGAGAATTCTTCGCTTTTATAACTAACAACTGCAATAGGAAGTCTCACAAAGGTCAATAGTTTAACAGTTATAAAAATAACTGTATTCATCTGTTAAAATAGACTAACATAAATTACATTTATTTTGCTCTTTATTTAAAAAAAAACAACATTCTGCCTTTTCTCCAGACAGAGAGCAACAAGAGCAATATAAGATATTATATTACATGTAACATTTTGAGTAGTGGAAACACATTTACCCTCAATTTCTATAGAGTTTAAACTGAATCGTATCTGTTAGCATTTTTCTTACAAAATTCACTAATTGATCACAACAGGTCTTCTACTTTTCCAAAGCAGCCAGTGTGGTAGGTGGATCTATTTCTTGTTGTTTAGAATTACTAGAAAAGACATGTGACCATGACACAAATGTGACACAAATAAGAAATAGATAGATCCACCTCCTACATTGTTCAGAATACATTCTGAAAATTCTGAAACATATTATTCATGGGTCAAGTTCTGGAACTGCTGACATTTTCCAGCAATTAGGTTAAGGAAGGTATTTTTTTTCTGTTAAAGGGTTGTCATAGCTAACAAACGTTATTCCTCCTCCTCCTTCTTCCATTCCCCCAGCCCCTCCTTCTTTGGGCAAGATCAAATTTATTTGGTCACAAATATGCATATATTTAATTGTAAACTGCTAAGAGTTACTTAGGAGACATTAGCAGTGAAGAAATTTAATAAACAAAATAACAATAAATCACCTACATTTTCTAAAATATTTTAGGCTAAAAAGTATTCTTTAAGGTTTTCCTGCCACAGTTCCAAAATGATTACACAGCATTTGTAGTCTGAAGTTATATCTTCTCATTCTGGTTCTATTTCTTAGCAATGAAGTGTCCTAGAGACCATTAAAGCCCATTACTTTCTCACTGGATCAATCACTTATACATAAAAAGATATTATAGTTTCTTTTGAAAAGTGACAAATATTGTGCGGAAATACAGAATTATAGTTTATTTTTGACCTTAATCCACCATTGTTTTCTTGTTATTTATATCCATTTTCTTTACTTTTTTCTCTATCACTTACTCATTCTCAACTATCTCTCACTCCAGATTTTCTTCTCCCTAGGACACTTATAGGGAAGTACGCTACTGAAATACAGATAATATCTCCTTTCATCATATTTCTCTATTCATTTGGAAATAAAGTACCTACCCTGTTTTCTTGAAAATAATACCTACCCGGATAATAAGCCTAATCAGGTGCGCATGCACTAAAATAAACCATCCCCTGAAAATAAGCCCTCCCCAAAAATATTGCAACACTGCAGCAGCCATGTGGTGACCATGGTCACTGCCTCCTGCACCTCAAAAATAATAAGACCTCCCTGAAAATAAGGCCAACAGCTTATTTCGGGAGTCAAAAGAAAATAAGACCCTGTCTTATTTTCAGAGAAACACAGTATCTTTGTGCTTGGACAGAGTACAAAAAAAGAGAGATATAATTCCTATTTTTCTTTTTTCTCAATTATTCATTTTTGTCTCTTTTAAAATGCAGCCTTTTCTCCCTTCAAGAATAAAAAAATCAAAATGCAGTCTCTTCACTTGCTGCCACAAGGCCATTCACACTACTCATGCATTATCCAGGCATCATGATGGAGCATGTCATCAAAGGCAATCTTTTCTCCACAGTTATTGTGTGGAATGAATGTCAGTACACAGGACAGTTTTTGATTTACTATCTATTGGCCATTATTCTCTCTGCTCCAAGAATAAGAAATAATTTCATTCAGGGTTTAATTGACAATTTATAATAATTGATTTTTAAAGTTCAAAAACTTGTTATTGTGATTTCCCTAAATGAACTGCTCAAAATAATGCATATTGTAGTCTTTTATACTTTCTAGATGTCATTTTCCAGGTGGCCTATAGTCTTCCCTCTTGATTTCTTGCACTGTTATGACTACCTGATTCCTCATGATTTACCTTCAGTAAGTAACAAAACAGATGATTTGAAAAACTACAACCAAATGCTACTTTACCTCATCTGAGCCATCTGCACAGTCATAATCACCATCGCACCAGAATCTTGCAGACATGCAGTCTCCATTTGAGCAGTGAAAATCCTTCTGAGAGCATGTTTGTGGTTCTGGAAAAAGAAAAAAATATCTAAAGTCTAATCCTTTCAACTGCTTGTTTCTCTCAGTTCTTAAATAGGAAGACACTATGTGCTTGTTACTGAAATATAAACGATGAAAGGAGAAATAGGAAGCTGGGGTGCTATGCAGGCTGCTTTGAACTTCTGATTGAACCGTTGGATATAAATAAAATATAGCAATAAATACTCTGCTTCCACTCTTGTTCCTCTACAACTGATATTTGCTGCTTAATGTTCCCAACTCAGATATCTTACAAATTTAAAAACTGATAGTCTTTGATAAACTTGTTTTCCCTTATTTATCCTATCACCTGTTAAAGCCAAGAAATTAATGGCCATCATCACATTTTATGATTGAATCCTACAGGTTATATATGGATTCTGGGCAAATAATTGCTTTGTTTTGCCTGCTTTAAATATGTTTCAAATCAGATTCACTTGATAGCTCCTGGTCCAAGTGTTTTAAAAGAGGAACACTTTCTACTGTCACTTTCTACAGGTCATTGATGCCATACCTCAGGGCTCTCAAATTCACAGCCCATGGGCCAGATGCATCACGTGCTGGCCAAGCCCATGCCCAATTTAGTGAAGGGGAAAAAACATCCTGATATGTCCTGTGATGCTGCTGTGATGACATGAGTTTGACACTCCTGCCATACTTTAAAGTGAAGTGAACTAAAATTCTTACTTCTTAACAGCAGAAAGAAAAGGGGCTGAACACAATTCTTAGAGAATCATGGGTTTTCTACTAATTCATTCCTGCTACTCCATATGAGGTGAATTGGTCTGAAAGATGTTTACTTCAAGTTATCCCCTGAAATTTATAGTCAAGTGGGAACATCTGAATCACTGGTATCTAAGTTGAACACCTTAGCTATTATGTTCCTCTTCATATAATTATAATTAGGAAAAGAAAAACTGGAATTTATCCCCTGTATAACCAAAATTAAAAATGACTTGGGATGCCAAAAGCAGGAAGAAAATGCCTTAAAGCATTCTAATAATCTGCTGAAATCAAGACACCTCAGTTATTTTTTATTATTTCATTTCTTTCTGCAATAAAATCCTGTTTTACAAAAAAATAAAATATTATAAAACCACAGTAATAAACATTATACAATTATTAAAGTTGGATAGTGGATTACCTTAACCATAGTTTTATATAAGGGCATTGCAATGTTGGATATTTTTTTTAAAAAAAAACTTCAGCCCAATTCCTAATGGTCTCTACTGTGAAGTTTTCCTTGTTCCCAATTTCCATACCATGTTGTGTCATTTTCATTGAACAATTAACTATGAGCCTAATTGTGACATAAACTTTAGGTACTTTAAACCACATCAATTGATATTTGAATTAGCCCACCTCATCTTCCAATGTACATATATTTATACTTCTTTAAACAATATTGCATTTGTCATTTGGTTCACCATTCACCCAATTTGAAGAGCTCCTTCTGGACTTTTTCACAGCCATTTTTGTTGGTTGAATTGTTTGATATCCTCTACAAAGATCACTGTTTACTCCTAAATCAGGATAATTGATCAAGATGAAAAGCACTGTTCTCCGCACTGATCCTTGAGAGTTTCTACTTACTCTACTGAATAAAAATGCTAATTTATTCCTATTCTACTTGCTGTCTCTCTGACAAAAAGTCAGGACTTCTTTAGTCATACACAAAAAGTTTTGATAAGGAACTTTATCAAAGATTTGAAAATCTTCTTATAATTTATAGGGGCAATAATTGTTTTAAAAATGGGGCAATAATTGTTGTATATTACAGCTAATTTATGTATAGATATGATGAAATGGCTTCTAGTCTGCAATTTTAATAATAAACTGTTTTAGTATATTAGCAAAAAATACATCAATATATTTAGAATTTATATCTTTTTGCTATTTTAGATTAAAATGACATTAAGAATTGACTCAAGTACTAGGACTTCCAGTGAAGACATAACAAGCAAAATATCTCTGAAGGAGCAGAGATGGCATTTACAATGGAGATTGTCAAACAATCCAGATGCTGGATTGTGGCTGGCAAAATTCTTTGGAGAAAGGAGAGATTGTGAGTCTGCCCACATGTATTCCAGAGAGTTGTTCCTCAATAGTACACTTCAGGAGCCCTGGTCAATTTAAGCAAGCAGCTAAGAATTGAGGGATTCCATCTAAGCCCATAGTCATAATGTACGTAGCTTCTATGGACAGAACGCTTGACCAGAAATAATTCTTTTGAATAATTTTGTAATGCTTTTTAAATAATAGGAACAATCAGAACAAGAAGTTTTTAATCAAATTTACTGAGTGAGGCCCCTTAATGAAACAAGTTTTAAGGACAAGTTTAACATTTTTTTTAAAAAAAACCTACTTTTTGGAATAAAGAGCTAGAGGGTATTTAACAAGTTGACTTTGGAAAGTTAAAAATAGACTAAAGGTCCAGATGGATTTGAAATAAAACATTAAAATTAATTATAAAAATCTTTTTTGTGGGAAATTATTGTCTGAATTCCTTAGTGGGGAAACTGGAGGCAAACAGTAGGGAAACATGATAAAAGTTGGACCTTAGAAATTAGAATAAATGAAAGATTACAACTACATGAGAAGAATACTTAAAGTCATCTTGTTAATACAGAATGGAGTAAAATATTTTAATACTGGACATTTTTAATGATATTTGTGAATAGTGGACTCAGATGTTAATTTTAAGAACATCTGTCACAGATGGAGTGTAAATGATGTTAGAGAGGAGCAAGCTCTACCAGACTGGATTGAAATGAGTTGATGTAGTCTTAAAAATAACAATTTACAAAAATGATATGGCAGTGATGTTGAACCTTTTTTGGCTCACATGCCAAAAATGGGGGGAGCACAGGGGGGTTGTGCATGGGTGTGCCACACTCATAATACAATGTGCGACACATGGACAGCGCTCCCCCCCCCATTTTTTGCATGCTTTTTTCACCCATCCCAAGCTCCAAAGTCACTTCCGGTTTGTCCGTAGGGACCTTCAGGAGGCTTCCCTAAAGGCTCCAGAGGATGAAAAACAGCCCTATGGACAAACTGGAAGTGACTTCTGATTTGCTTATAGGGCCAGTCTTAGCCCTCCAGAGCTTTCAGGGAAGCCTCCGGAAGACCCCTGAAGGCTCCAGAGGGCTTAAACTGGCGCTACGAGCAAACCGGAAGCCTGTTTCCAAAGTTCCGGTTTACCCATAGGACCAGTTTTTTGCACTCCGGAGGCTTCAGGGAAGCTCTTGAAGCCTCCAGAGGGCCTCTGGGAGGAGGGGGAGGCTGTTTTTGCCCTTTCCAGGCTCCTATAAAGCCTCTGTAGCCTGGGGAGGGCGAAAAATGGCCTCAAAAAGTCAGTTGGCCAGCGGGCACATGCGTATTGGCCAGCTGCCAGGGCAATGTCTCATGTGCCCTGACAAATGGCTCCGCGTGCCACAGGTTCACCATCCTGGTGATATGGGAAAAGATATTTTATTGGACATACAAATGAAACCAGTTTATGTGTTAATAATTAAAAGGGACATCGAAGTAACAAACCAGAAGAGTGAATTGGATACCTTTTATATACTGGATTTACAAAAAACAAATAAGAAATAAATTATTGGCTATTATTTGAAGGGATTTAAACCCAAGATTGTTAAAATTACAGGTAAGGAATATAAAGATTATCATTCACCCATGTATTACTCTTTAAGTTATTCAAGGTGCCAAACACACATAATACTCCTTCCTCCTCATATTTTCCCAATGATCTGTGAGGTATGTTCAAGTGAGAGAAAGTGACTGTCCCAAAGTCACCCAGCCTGTTTTCCATGCCTAAAGCAGGACTAGAACCCACTGTCCTGATTTCTATGTTTCTACCTTGACCACTATACTAACAAAAAAATAGACACAAAAAACTGAAGTTGGTTTATTTCATCAAGGTTAAGATAGATATGCAGTTTTATCTGGTAACATTCAATGGACTTTTGCTAGGATTGAATAATGAGGTTTTAATATTTTGTTTATAGTTAAGAGATGAGATATGGGAAGAAGAGGTAATTTATTGTATTTTAAAAGAAGGTAATAAGTTATTAAAATTGTTTACTCTTGTGATGGGGAAAATTTTATACATATCTCTTCTGTACTTTCCAATTTTTTAATTTTTATTCTTACTTCTTTTTAATTTATATTAGTTTTTAGGTTTTCAATTGTAATCTTTCATGAAATTATTATAAGATTGGGAATTATTTAAGTCCTCATAATATTTTAATGAGGCTAGAACATTTTAAGAAAAAATAAATTATTAAAATAGAAAAATTAATCAGCAGATCTGATCTTCAATATTATTAATAATTTATCTAAAGTATTAAGATAAAATAAATGTCTTTTAAAAATAGCAGAAACAGAGACAAAAGCAGTGTTTTTCTCTTTTTTGTAGAATGGTTTACAAATATGACATTACTTACTGCAGTTTTCTTCATCAGAATTGTCACCACAATCATTTTGACTGTCACATCGCCAGTGATCTGGAATGCAGTTGCTATTCTTGCATTGGTATTCATGAGGGCCGCATGTCTTTTTATCTGTCACAAAAGTTTATACTATTTTTGTTAACATACTTCTAGATATGCATGACTAGAAATAAGAAAAATGCATTGCAAATTACCAGTTATCACATTTTAAACCACATTTCAATAGTAGAAGCAATAAAGTATTAAATAAAGAACCAGATTACAATGCAAACTTTATAAGGAGAAGGGGACAGAAAGAAAGATAAAAAAATAAATTTTGGATTGAATCTTTTGCTAAAGAAACTAAATTTCTGGCTTGCATCCATATAAATTAGGTAAATTTTGGAATAAACCAATTTTGGTCCATTGAAACCCTTAGATAAAACAAACTGTTATTTTGGCATTGGAATGCACTAAGAAATAATAGAGCAAAATGTGTCATCCTCAAATCTTTCATGGAATTTATAAATCTATCTGACAGAATGTAAATTACAGAATGTTTAATGTATTAACATTATGGTATTACATTATAATCTGACATTCTACTGTTAGCAAAAGTAAGGAGAAGAAATTCAGCAAGGTGCATGAATTCAGTTACAGTGGCAATGTGTGCACAGTTGGAAAATCTGAAGTTAGGGACAAATCATTAAGGACAAAATCAGACTAGAAGGCCTCCAAGGTCCCTTTCACTCTGTTATTTTGTTATTCTGGTAAGAATCAAACTATGGGGTCATAATCAATCAACAAACAATCAATCTTCTGATTGATGGGTGGCTATATAAATTCTTCAGGTTGATAGCCAGTAATGTTACTTTTCCAAATATACCAATTTTGAATAAATAAGAAAAACATAGGGGAACTTAAATTGTTTACAGAACTCACCACAATTTGCTTCATCAGACCCATCAGCACAGTCCGGATCCTCATCACATACCCACAGTTTAGAAATACAGTGCTTTGTAGTTTTACACTGAAAATGGTCAGGAGAACAGCTGTTTTCCGCTTTAAAACAAAAGAAGGAAGACATGTATTTATAAAATGAATTAATATAGCAATAGCAATAGCAATAGCAGTAGACTTATATACCGCTTCATAGGCCTTTCAGGCCTCTCTAAGCGGTTTACAGAGAGTCAGCATATTGCCCCCAACAATCTGGGTCCTCATTTTACCCACCTCGGAAGGATGGAAGGCTGAGTCAACCCTGAGCCGGTGAGATTTGAACCGCTGACCTGCTGATCTAGCAGTAGCCTGCAGTGCTGCATTTAACCACTGCGCCACCTTGGCTCTTAAGATGATCAGACAATATCAACAAGAGTTTTTAAATTCTATATATCTTTTTGAATGCCTTTTAATGCAGCTATTGAAAATAAACTATTACTTCAAAATAATTTATCAAGGTATATTCAGCAATATACTTTATTACAAGGTACAGTACTTTAAAGAAATATATTACATTTGATTAATATAAGGAAACACTAATACATCCTTTTCTAGTGAATTTAAATCTATTATTAACTGATATACTTTTTTTCTGCCTTTCAGTCAGTTTTTGACTTAGGGTGACTGACTGGACTAGTCCCTGCTGTTTTCATAGCAATGTTTTTCTTCTCTGAAATTGCCATTCTCACTTTCCTAGGGCAGAAGCAAGGTGATTGGCCAATGTTGCCCAGCTGGCTTTGTGCCTAAGTCAGGACTAGGATTTACAGCCTCTTGGTTTCTCGCCTAACACCTTAACCACTATCCTAAACTTATTCTTATACATGTTTACTCAAAAGTAAATCAAATTGGATGGGTTTGTTGCCATGATATAGGATACTACTTTTAATTATTTTTACTTTAGTATAATTTAGTAATTTAATCTATTTTTAGAACTTGATTTTGATTAGACATGTGGAAAATAGCATTTATAGAAATAAACTACATAAAACTTATTTTTCTTGAAAAACATTCTTTTGAATGTTTCCTGCCATTGACATCTGTATTAACTAGCATACTGCATAGACTTTTGTAAAAGCCAGCAGTATCTGTCCAATATCTGCATTTTAACAGATTATGCCATATTTTGTTTCTTACCATAGATAATCCCATATAGTCAGCTGGATATTATTCCCTCTGTGCTAAATAAAACTATTATATTAAATATATGTTTAAACCTGTTGTTTGTTCCACATGAATTTAGAGACTAAAGGTCTCTGGATAATTTAAAAGTATAATTGCATACAAAGCAGACTGATGATGCCAGACCCTGAATCAATAAATATTCTGACCTGGAAGTTTAATATAAAAGTTGAAGAAAAAAAGAGGGCAAGCTCGTTGGGATCCCATAGATAAAAGGCTCTCAACTCCTCCATCCATATTGACTAGACCTGACTATAGAGAAAGGAAAATAGCATCCAGAAGTATACTGTAATCCAAAACTGCTAAATCCAGACTTCATTGAGGCATATGGCTTCTTGAGGGAGGGGCATGGTGGCTCTTCCTTTATAAGCTGATACTGAAACATGAAACCAATTAGAAGTCACTTTGTGGATAGCTTTAGGATACAGGGACCTGAGTTTGATAAACAGGTGATTAAAAGACCTGGTTCTAATAAACAGAGGGCTGAGTTCAGAATGTGAAAGATCCTGCTCACTTCATCAGGAGCAGGTAAATCCCATAATAACAAGCCTAGGCACCTGAACTGAACTTGCCTAGCAAGCTGAAAGGCAATCAGAGAGATTTTTGACATGGTAATGGACTGATGTAAATATCCTTTATTAGCAAAGAACATCACAGCTGCCCCAACTGCAAACACTAGTATGCATTGTCGCTTGATGACTTAGGACAGGTCTGTAGCTGCTATACAGACTATGAACTTCTGATCTGCCCCCGGGTTCAATGACATTTGATAGCAAAATGAAATCCCCAAGGATAAACTAGTCATGGGGTCTCCTTATCCAACCTGGGAAAAGAATGTAAAAAATTAGATAGTATAGACCAGCGATGGATAACCATTTTTGGCTTGCGTACCATAAAGGGGGGAGCACAGGGGGGGGGTTGTGCGCGGGCATGCCACACCCATAATGCTATCTGCGACCCCCACAGTGTGCATGCACCAGTGGTGGGTTTCAAAAATTGTTCGAACCTACTCTGTGGGTGTGGCCTCCTTTGTGGGAGTGGCTTGCCACCCATGTGACCGGATGGGAGTGGCTTGCTGCCCATGTGACTGGATATGAAGATGCTGACAACACTTGTCAGAACCACCTTAAATTACCTCACACAGAGCACTGGCATGCATAAGAATATGATGTAAATTTGTTTTTTAAAAGGCATCTTTGGTTTGCATTAAAACAACTTCAACACACACAATGTTCTGATTGCACCACAAACGCAGTAGTCATCCTTACCTTTCACAGAGGATGATATAGCAACAGTAATCCCAACTGTTTTCTATAGCCCATCTGCTTCTATACTAGAGGGTTTCACATTCAGTTATCTACAGCACAGGGCCACTAAGAGCCCTGTGCTGTGGCCACTAGGGGCCACTCAACAATTTATGAATGTTAACAACTATCATCCCCACTTTCTTGGCTCCTTGGCTAGTGTTAAACTTCTAAATTGGTAAGGCGCATTTCCAAATCCAAACCTGGCTAAGTATATTTCCTTCCTCTGGACCTCTCTAGGTCTCAATAATACATACTACTATGGCGGTCTTATCCATGTAGACATCTCCATGTGAAGATTTATTGCAAGACAACCTGATATTCAGAAGTAACATCAGTAGTCTCCCCTCCTCCGTCAAGGATTTGATAAACAGGTGTAGAATAGAATACTGAGGCCTGGACATTGGACTACTCTTTAAGTAGCAGTCTCAGCATGCCTAGGAAATGTCACCAAACCTATCCTTGCTTGTCATATTTAAAATATTTTTGTATGCCCTTTCCTCTAGTTTCCTTCCATTCCATGTTCTTAGTTCCCAAGACAAAACATTCTTAACTTTCATTCATTCACCCATTCACTGTTCTCACCCCACCCTACAATCAACCTACATAAACAATAATAGACACGCTAATCCTTCATAAAAACAGCAGATATCCCATCTGATCATTCCTGCATTCAGGCACTCAGCAGCTTGAATAGTGTGCAGATTCTGTGGCAACTCTACTGTCCATCCCAACATCCCATAACAAACTTCCCATTCTAAGTGGACAAAAAGATTACAGGCATAGATGGCTGCTTGGATAACGAAGACTCTTATTCAGAAATCCAGCACAGAGATTCCAATAGGGCAGTGCCCAGGGTTCAACATAAATGGCAGCTAGCTAAAGCCATTGGAAACATCAAAATAATTTAGGTAGGGCCTAGAAAAATCATCCACCAGCATTCTTTAATCACTCCAGCTCCTTCCTCCCCTACTACATGTCGGTCCCTAAAATTTTCCTCTCCCTGGCAAAAATCTATCCTATGGGTCTGGGCTGTATATATTTGTGCAAAATATCTATGTTTCCTGGAATCATCTTTAGCTTTCTGTTTTATAACCAATATGTTTTCTTAGGTGCCATGACTGTTATGTTTGACAAGATTTCTGAATTTTTACATATTTTTTTAAAAAATGACTTACGACAATCTTGTTCATCTTCTTCATCACCACAATTATCTTGTCCATTACACCTGAGATTTATTGGGATACATTTCTGATTCTTGGTGCACTTAAATTGACCTGGTAGGCAAACATGGGTATCTGGAAGTTGGGGTAGGGAAAGGAAGAAAAGAAGGTAACTACATTAAACACAGGCACACAAATAATCCTCATATATTGTTTTTCTTAATTAAGAATTAAGTTATTTTTATTAATCATTAATCATATTATCATAATTTAACCATTAAAATTAAATTTTAATAAATTTAATAAAAAGGCAAATTTTGATAGAACATTTATAATACAGCATTGTGCTAACCCTACTTTAAAAAGTACAAGATGGATTTATAGCTATAACTTGTACAAGTACTAGTCAAATAATTAGTACAGGTTCTAGAGTAATGAATTATGAAAGTATTTGCAAAATGGTTGTACAAGTAGAATAAATAGAATAACACAGAAGAACAGGATTGGAAGGGACTTTAGACATCTTCTAGTTCAACCCCCTGCTCAAGCAGAGACCCTATACCTGTGATGGAGAACCTATGGCATGTGTGCCACAGGTGGCACACAGAGCTCTCTCTCCAGGTATGTGAGCCATGGCCCCAACTCAGCTCCACCGTGCATGTGCTCCTCCCACCAGCCAGCTGTTTTCTGAATTTCTGCTGTGAATGTGTGGGGCAGGGCACATGTGGGAGACACACATGCAGACAGTGGGTGGAGGGAAGGTGTGTATGTGTGGGGGTGGGGGTCATGTGGGGGTAATGTGTTGTGTGCATATTGCATTATGGGTGTGTGCATACATGCACACTTTCAACATTCTTTGTTGAAAAGGTTAGCCATCACTGCCCTATACCATTCTGGACATACATTTGTCCAATCTCTTCTTAAAAACCCAGTGATGGAGTACCCATAACTACTTGGGGCAAGCTGTACCACTGATTAATTGTTCTCACTGTCAGGAAATTCTTCTTTAGTTCTAGGTTGGAGTACTCTTTCATGATCTTCCACCAATTACTTCTTGTCCTGCCTGACTCCCTCTTATATTTGACAGGCCCTCTAGTACTAGAAGACTGCTAATATGCAACCCCTACTATTCCTCTGTTGAGGGCCCTGCTTTTCAATAGACTAAATATAGACTAGCTACTGGTAGTTCCTGCAAATGATCATTGTATGGTTTAGTCTTGTCATCTTGGTTGCTCTTCTCTGCACACTTTCTACAGTATACGCATCATTTTTGTATCATTGTAACTGAACTGGACATAGCATTCCAAGTGTGGTCTTACCAGTGGAAGATAAACCGGTACTATCATTTCATGTGATCTTGATACTATCCCTCTGTTGAGGGATTAACTTTTTTGGTAGCTGTACACACTGCTGGCTTATACTTCAGTGGTTGTCCATCTATTCTAAACTGTACACTTGGCTTTTCTTTTCTTGCCTAAGTGTAATACCTTACTTTTTCACCACTGAATTGCATTTTGTTAGATAGGGCTCATCTAATCATTTGTGAAACTTTTTATTATTACTTTTGTCATTTGTTTCAAGTTGTAGTTCATTCTAAGTCTTAGCTTTCCTGACTTTGTCCTTTGGCTATTTATTGACATTCTTTTTGAAGTTCTATATTTCTTTTTCCATTGGTTTGCTTATCCTTTCTGTCTCCCAGTTTACTAGAAAATTCTTTATGCAACCTTGTTAGTTTCATTTGGTGTGTGTGTGTGTGGGGGGGTGTCTCTTGTTTTTCTTCTCTGTGGTATTGTGCTAGACTGGGCTTTTATAGTCTCATTTTTCAGAGCATCTTGGGTTGTTTTCCTCTTTAGGATTTATATCCATGAAATTCTTCCTAAACTTTAAGTTGTAAATTTATAGAAATCGGCTTTTTGACATCTAAGACACTACATTGTTGAATTATTTGTGCCTGCATTAGGTCAAATTCCAGTGTGACCAAGTCGCTCTCCCACAAAGTTCAACCCCCTCTATTATTTCATTGTTATTAGTAATGAAATGTTAAGTCTAATATAGCTAATCCTCTAATTCCATCCTCTACCTTTTGGGTGATAAAGTTGTATGTTAAATTCTTCAGCAACCTGTTTGATATGTCACGGTGCAGAGATTGTCTCCCAGATCATGTCAGGGAAATTAAGGTCCCACCATTAATACTGTGGTGTTTTTTCCAAACACATTAGCTAACTGATTAGCAAAAAGTTCATCTGCTCCCTCTGCTTGGTTGGGTGGTTTGTGGTATACATCTATAACAATGGCGTTCCTTTTTTCTTTTATATTAATCCAAATCCATTCAAGAAAGTTTTCAGCCACAATGCACAGGTTTTGTACATTTCTGTAGAAGTATAGTTATTTGCTGCAAATAATGCAACTCTACTTCATCTTTTGTTAGCTCTGTTTCTTTTGAATAATTTAAAGTCTTCTAGCAGTAGATTCCAGTCTTGGGTTTCATCTCACCAAGATTTGATAATGGCAACAATGTTGAACCTGCCCTCATATACTAGCATCAAGTTTGCCCTGTTTGTTCCTTAGAGCATTAGTGTATAGATGTCTGGAATCTTCTTGACTGAATCTGCATTTTGCTTCTGTTGTATTTACTGCCGCCGATCTAACAGCTTCCTACTTCTTTTGTTATATATCAGAGTTTTCCTTCCTTTTCACCACTCCTTACCTGTTTGATTGGATTTCTTGAGGTTTGTGCTTGGAATTTGGTCCTAAAAATTGGTTTTTCCACCCATTCCAGTTTAAAGATTTCAGAAAAGCTGAGCCAGTTGTTTTCCAAACATTCTTCCTTGTTCTTGTGAGGTATGGCCCATTCCCTGACAGAAGCCCTTCATGTAGGTAATGTAAACCATGGGCTAGAAATCCAAAGTTCTCTTAATGGGACAATTATTTAAGTCAGTGGTTTACTCCTAAAATCCTTTGTTCCCTAATTAGATGTTGACCTTCCATTGGAAATACAGATGAAAGCACCACCTCCATTTTCTTTGGCTTTCATGCTGCTTATAGTATCTTAATATTGTTTCAGGCTTTGTTGTATCATTCATCCCCACATGAAAAAGGAGAAAGGGACACTCTTTGAACTTAATTATTTTAGTAAATCTCCCAAACACATCTTTGATCTTTGCTCCTGGAAGACCACATATCTCCCTTGATAGATTGTCTGGTCTGCAGATTGCTCATTCTATTCCTCTGAGAAGTGAGTCTCCTATCACCAACTCACATCACTTTTTCCTTGAGTGAAAAAGATCTTTTCTTCTTGTCAGTAGTATGCTTGATGATGTTCCTTCACCAAATATCTGCACATTATCTTCTAGGAGGAGGAGATGAAATTGATTTCTAGGCTAGACTGCAGGGACATTTGTTACATTTTTTTCTATGAGAGCCATTTTGCCATCAAGTTTCATTTTTCTGATAGTTGTTTGTTCTTTAATATGTTCAGTTTATAGTCTTCCTTTAGTTGGAGTTTCTCATTTTGATGTTTGAATCTCAGAGTAGCTAGACTTACCTCTAGATCCTTTACTTTTTCCTTGAGTAATTCATTTGGTTTACATTTGGTAGAGATATACTGTGTTTTCCCAAAACCAAGACAGGGTCTTATTTTCTTTTGATCCCCAAAATAAGCACTTGGCCTTGTTTTCAGGGAGATCTTATTATTTTTGAGGTGCAGGAGGCAGTGAGCGTGGTCACCTCATGGCTGCTGCTGTGTTGCAATATTTTCGGGAGGGCTTATTTTCAGGGAAGGGCTTATTTTACCACATGTGCTCAAAAGCCCAATTGTGCTTATTATTCTGGGAGGTCTTATTTTCAGGGAAACAGGGTAATTTGTGTCTTCTATTGGCAAGAATACATACATGGCACATATTTGAAAATCATAACATTGGTCTTTTTTTAAAAATGAATATGTGTTTTTCATGGCTGTTATTTTTCTTGCAAATGGTCCCAATAGTTCCAATGTCTATTTCTTTTAAAATTTGGTTTATGTAGGGTTTTTAATTTTTTAAATATTTTTTTTCATATCCCTTTTGGTTTTTGGTTTTTGTTTTTGTTTTAAATGGCCATTGCTTCCTCTTGTGGTTAATGTTGAAATAACACTTAAATGTTAGCCTTTTGCTCCCTCTTCTGGCTAGTGTTGAAGTAAACTTTAAATCTAACACATCAAAGACAAATCAAATCACCTTCAAAATATAGTTTGTAATCTACAGATCACCTTCAGGATATAGTTTGTAATCCAGAAAAGGAAGAAGCAAAAAGAATAAAGGGGAAAAGAAGGCTCTTAGTTTGCAATTATTGTAAAAGTGTATAGAAAAATAGTGAATTCTTGCTCGCAGTAGTTACAAGTCAGTGTCTTTTTTTAGCAGTATTTCTAATTTTGCCTAATTTGTCTAATTTAATAGTGTTTGGGTACCTTCTTTTTAATTTTAAAAATCTTAAAGATGTAGAAATTTATTTTTAAAAATTTTTTAAAAATAATTAAAATAGCTTTATGAATTTAATCTTATGACAATAAATTGTTCTAATTTTTAATCATTGTGTTCTTATTTTCTTTAATTTCTTTAAAAATTCAAAAAATTCAAAAACTGAAAATTTTTGCAATATTTAAAAATTTCATTAATTTTTTTAAAAATTTGTATGCAGGGTTTTTTATTTTTTTAACAATTACTCTTGAGATTAATGCTGAAATTATACTTAAAAGTGAATACTCTGCTCCCTCTTGTGGCTAGTGTTTAATTTCCACTTATGGCTAGTGTTGGAATAAAACATTTTGTTAATGTAAAAGTGTAAATTGTCCCTCTATTCCTCCTTCTTTTACTTCTGTGCAAAACTTGGTTGTTGCTATTTTGACATGTTGCATTGCTATTTCATATTCCATTGCACCAATGTGGTCACTGCTATTCTCAGCCATCATGCTGTATGTTGCAATTACGTTTTGATGCCATTCCTTCTCCTTCTTTTGCTCCTCTTGCTCCTTTAACTTTCTTTCAACTTTGCTTTTCCTTTTTCTTCTCCTCCTTCTCTATGCTAAGCACCTTCAGTTGTACATGCTGCCACTGCTGTCACCACTGCCAGTTGTGTCTGTGGGTTTTGCTACTGCTCAGGTGCAACTGACAGTTGTGTGGCTGTTGCTGCCACCATTGCCACTTGTTGCGCCCACTACCAATGCCACCACTGCCACCTTTTCCCATCTTCCTATTTCCTTCTCTTGTTTTCCTTGTTTTCCTTCTCCTTCCTTTCCTTCTTTAAGTTTTTAACTTTGTTTTAACCCTACTTCTTTTAAATGATTTAAATTATTAAATTATGTAGACCAAACTTTTCTAACACATATTGGCAGCCATTCCTATATTGGGAAAGGGCATTCTGTCTTGACATTTGCATAAAAAATGTTTTGATTATTTGCCTTCTTGTGTAAGAGATTGAGAACTTTCAAATGCAATTCTTTTCCAACTGTTAAATTTCTTAATGCACACTAGTAGTGGCAGTAACAAATAATTCAAGATTTTAGTTAATCAGAGTCAAAACTCCAAATGAGCCTTACTAAAAAAAATCAGATCTTTTACTCTTCTGTTGAACCAACATTAGATAACATTCTTAAAATGTTATGCTGATATATTGTAGGACTGTATACATCTCAAAACCTGTAAATATGCACATATACAGGAGAACAGTGAACAATATTTTCTCAGTTGTCCAAGATTTTTTCTCTTATATCAATCATACTCACCACAATTAAGTTCATCTGAACTATCTCCACAATCATTTTCCCCATCGCATATAAAAGCTGGTAAAACACAGAGACCAGTTCCACACTGAAAACGCCCTGGTTGACATTTAAATTCAGCTGAAAAAAGAAAAGAAAAAAAGAAAAAAAGGCTTTTCTAACAGTCACAGAAATTTTATGCAATGAAGAAAGACAATTAAATCATATATGGTAAGAATCGATAGAGATTCAAAAGTATCACTTTCCTCACCCTAATTAATCATAATGTTCTCTTCTAAGACACAGTCATTTTAATCATATAGAAATACAGTATCAAAAAACATAGTGTAATATGTTTACAATGTTATATTTCTAGAAATTTTAATCAATCATCTCCTTACTATACTGAATAAAATGACTTTATCTATATTATCCCTGATTATAAGTTACATTTACTGTATACCTTTTCCACTTGGCTGACCTTTGCTAATCTTAAAAAAAATGAAAAAAACCAACTAAGCTTGAATAAATTACTTTCCTGGGAAACAAGTATGAAATCCTAGAGGTATAAATTGAAGAGGAAATACAAAAAAAGTATAAATAAATGAATAAATTCCTAGGAGAAAAAAAACATAACATAGTTTCCATACATGATTAGGAGATGAGCATAACTCAAAAATATTTAATTTTTAAAAACAATAAATTAAATCCAAATGGTATCAAAAGCTCTGTTTCTCATCAGTAGCACATATGCTTTCTTTCATTTGATTTGCTATAAAGACAATATGTAAAATGTATCAACAATCATAATTTCTACAGGTAGTCCTTAACTAATAGTCATTTGCTTAATGAAGGCCTTGGAAAGGATGCTTCATAAAACACTTTTGATCATTGCAAAATATCACACATCCCACACCAACATGATCTGAGTAACTATGTACTATTCATAGTTACAGCTAGTTTCCAAGCACCTCATAAACCTGTGACTGCCATTTGCTATTTTCTCTGCCAACAAGATAGGTGCTGTCCTATCTCTCTCTCTTGTTTGAGAGAGGGCTGTTCAATTTCAACATAAATGGCCTTTTTGACTCTTCTTTCAATCCAATGCTCCTCTCTGTCCAGAATGTTAACATTTTGGTTTGAACCTGTCCCCTGTCTACAACAGACTCCATTCAGCAGTCACAAGAAGGTTTCACACCCATTTGCACTCTGATTCAGATGACCTTGAGGGTACAGATAAATTCCCAAATGATCTCAATGACCTTCAGAGAACTAATGACCAATCCTCAGAGTGCTAATGACCAGATGGCCACAAATAATATAAATCCTTCCATTCTCCCCATTCAGAACCAAAGAAGCTTCTTGGATGAGAAGTGAAACATTTTCAAAGAAAAAAAATCAAGAAAGTCCAGTTGCCTTTTGAAATGCACTGCTGAGAGTGGACTTTTAGCACTAGAGCAGAGAGGCAGTATAGTAAGGTAAAGGGTATGGGGTGCCTTAGTGGGATGGGACTGGCTTTGGGAGGCCTAGTGCAAGATGTGCTCAAATCTCTCTCCTTTCAGGGGCTGAAAATCTTGCTTGGATTTTATCAGGGATTATTTTTAACTCCTAAGAAGAGAGACACTCATGTATGGTCTGCACTAGGTTTCCCAGAGTCTCCTCTCCATACTCCTATGCTCCTTGGTTAGAACTATCTGCTTTACAATCCATTAAGTTGCTTAACAACCCCAACCAGGTACCTCAGTCATGGAGCAAAGCAATCATGTAATATCTCACTCAACGATCACTTTGTTCAATGATTGTGCTTGGGGTCCCAATTATAGTAGAAAGTTGAGGACTATGTGCATATTTGTTGATGTTTCTCCTCAGTAAAGTGCTCATAAATCTATTGTATATAATTACATTGTACTACAGTTTTTAATTCTATGTGTATAATGATCAATATTTCAAAGAGCCACCTTTTGGGCTTATTATCCTTATTAGAGGATATAATCATATGCTTATTTACCCTGAAATTTTACTACTATGAACAAAGGTTTATAATATATGTTCTAATACCATATACAATCTAGGAATTCTCATTTATTCTGAATGATCAGGATAACTGGAACTGTTAACAATTCCAAAACCACATAACATAAATAAACAAACAATATATTTTATATACTAAAATTATACAGAATGTTTATTGCCATTTGATATTGTTTTCCTGCAGAATGGATCTGTAGATCTTTTTTAAACCAACTTAAGTTAAGTCTCATAATAGTAATCTCATGACTGATAACTCTATCTAATTAAGAAGCATTCATTTATCATGACTTGAAACAGTTTTCTTTTTCAATACTTCTGAAGCATTAATTGCAAAAGGTAATTAAGAGCACCTAGTTTCTCCCTGGTAATCTAGGTTTGAATGAAGGAGACCACCTCTTACTTTGAATTTAAATTATAGTATGGAAGATGAATAATGAGATGCATTTTGTATCTGTTGCCTAAAAATACATTTTCCCTCTCTCGAGGATTGGTCTAATACACTTAGCTATATCTTAGAATATAGTTTATTTTAGCAGGGGAAAATCCAATCCTCTTCGTATTGAATAATTGAACAGGAAGAGCTAAGATGGACCTTCCAAGAGAGTGAAAAAAAAAAAACAACCTCAAGTAGTCATGTGTTCTGAATAGCTGCTTGCTCAACCGTGAGAGCTATAAAGTCAATGTCCTGTATAGTTTATAATTGCAGCAGGTACAACATATCTTGAAAGCTGCTGATTGTCCAATGTACTATATGTGGGGTAGTTGAAAGATTGCTTTGTGTCAAGTAAGTGTAAACTTTGAAAGGAATATAAGGGAGACACGTTTGAGGAACTTAACAAATGTATATGGAGAATGAAAGTTTTTAGGGGATATCTTTCTTCTCTTAGTCAAGAGTTGGAAAAGAGAACAAGAGAAAAATAAAATAAAAGCCTTTCTACTGATGTATTCTAAAAGGTAAAAAAGAAGAATTAATAGGAGTCTGAGATGTGCAATGCTTATTGAATGATTGTCTTTTTGCCTGAAAAGAACTTGCAAACCTGGTACAGTCCTGAAAACCCCCCATAGAATTAGCCTACACTCAATGGCCACACTTCAATTGGTAAGAAAGGAGAAGGATTTATCAGTTCAAAGAAAGGAAGCATTACAATAGAACCTGATAGTGACAGAAACTCTCCATAAGGAAGACTATCAAATGGAGAAGTAAGCCCAATGGATGAGAGTAAAGATCAGAAATAAGAGACACAAATCATGTTCTGCCTCACTGGAACTCAGAAATAGTTTTCAGGTCCTTTCAAAGAAAACGGGCTTTGAGTGTTCAAAAAAAAAAAAAAAGGAAAAAGAAGCACTGTAAGAGAGTAAATCCCTAGCAACATGCATAATGCAACTGTTACTGTATAAGAAGACAAAGAGAAAAGTCAATATAGCTGATAGCTAAACATTATTTTTTTTATTTTTCCCAAAACATTTTTGCAATAAAATATAAAATAAAAGGTATCCTTGTTTTGGGTTCCTATTTTTTTTTGTGAACATTCTTTACTTGCTTCAAAATAATCCATGAAATTCATCTATCTGGTGACAAAATGTAATCTCAATATATTTATTTGTATTTGGCTAATGTTCTGGATGATTCTGTTGAATAAAGGTGACTTATAGTCCTAGCCAATCTTCCTAATACAGTTAGTACAGCCTAATACTGCTTGAGTAGAACTAAAGATAGAAAATCTGAATTAAATTGTGATGCAATTTTTATATCTGGGGCTGATTTTGGACCTGTTAAACTGAAGAAGCTTCTTGGATAAGAAGCAAAACATCTTCAAGTCCAGTTGCCTTTTGGAAAAAGCATATTTGGGAAAACCATGACCTGAATGACTGAGAATCTCCATAGACAGACATGTTAAGACCTGTCTTATGTTATTGCTGTGTGAAAAAGTTTGGATGACAAACTATGTATATCACTTTAGATGTAAATGAAACATCAATGTACAAATAAATAAAAACTAGGAGAAACATTACTTGTTGATTTCTGACAACATCATTTACTTCACACTTTCTGAACGCCGAAAGAATATTGTGAAATTATGAAATGATAAGCTGATTTAATCAAATTTCTGCCACACTACAGAAGATGGATAGCAACCATCCATTGTACAAGTGATTGGCAAAAGCCTAACAAATCTATTTTATATTATTAATTGCAGAATTAATACATATAAAGGGGTAGTAAAAATCTACTTTCTGAAGTTCAATTGAAACTCCTACACTTAGAAAAAGTATGATCATTGTAAGAATTAAGGTGCTATATTGTTTTATTATGCAGTAATATTCTTCATTTTCAAATGTAATATGTAGTATGAAAAAATGATTTTCAGCACTTCTATCTTTATTACTTTTACAATATGATTGATAAGTCTGAAGAATAGTATTCCTAAAATATTATATTCATTTATACTTACGACATTCTTCAGGTTCATCTGATCCATCTCCACAATCATCGACAGTGTCACATTTCCACCAAAATGGAATACATTTGTCAGTCCTGCAGCGGAACTAAAAGAGAAAAGTGTAATTTAAAAAGTTTTAAAATAGATATACAAAAATCTGTGTGTCTGTCTATATATATTATAAGTAGAATAAAAAGTCAATAACTGGAATCAGATATACTTTGAAATGTGATTTTAATTATTATAAGCAACTTTTTAAAAGTCTCATTTTTTCATACATATAAACCTATTGTATTTACTACAATAATATACTTCAGAGAATTAAATATATAGTATAGTATTACAATTTTTTTAGAAGTGACATATATTTCAAAAATATGTAAATATACTTAAAATGAGATACTTAAAGTATTTTTTAAAATGTTCCATGCCAAACAATATACATACTTGACTGGCTGTGCAATTTGATAAGCAGGTCTTATTATCTGCTGCGAGGTAAAAATTGGTAGGACAGGCACACGTGTGAGTTTTGTTTGGGGCAAGAAGGCACAGATGACTACAGCCACCATTATTTAATGTACATGTATGTTTAGCCACTAGAAATACAAATAAATAAAAATTAAAACATGCCCATAAAACTCAAGTGAAGACTAATTCTAAAGCTGTAATATTTTCCAGTTTAAATATTCCTCTAACAAGTTTGATACATACATTTTAGAAATACTATTTTAAAAGATAAGTAAGAATAATAAATTATGAAAATTGAATTGTTACTACTTTTCCATAAAAATAGTTTTATGACATAAAATCATTTTATATTCTATAAAACTAATTCAGACAATTGACCAATAATAACAGCTGTGTTCAGATACAGTTATCTTCTCACAAAAACACAAAAAAGGAGCTATGTGCACACTCTACTCGAATAAAGTAAAGTGTGCACACAGCTCCTCGTTTGTGTTTATGTCCCACTGAAACATCCATGGAAATACTGAGAATTTCTACAGTGCAGACATTGTTACGTGTAAGCTTCCATCTCTTGTGGAAGCTTATACACTGCATGCAAAGTCTCCCTGCTCCAGAAAATATGTCTTTACTTTTGAAGATTGGCTTTGCAATATTATTATTGGTATAATAAAAAGGGAAAGATAAAATTCATTACTTATGTTGACTTCTGCACAGAATATATTGTATAAATAGAGCTAAAGAAAGTTCTAAATTTGAGTTAAGATGAATTCTAGTCCTCAGTCCACAGTAAAAGAGATGTACTGGAAGATATTTCTGATCCAGAAAGAATCTGATCCTCACACCAATATTAAAAATGCTGTATTCATTTCTATCCACAATGTATTACAAGAACCAGGGTGAATGGAAGAAGCTCACTAAGTTATTAAAAGCTATATCTGTGATTCACCCTATTCAATCATAATAGGTATTTTGAAGAATAGCCAGTTCTCTAGTATCTATTTTACTTCTCTAACAATCTTAAACACGCTAAATAGTTTGTGGTTATTGCTAAGCAGAATTGGTAACAGAGGAAGAGGCATTTGCTTGAATTAATATGTGATTTAAAAAAATCAGTTCTTACCATTAGGTTGCCGGAATGAATGATAAACTTGAATATCAGTTATGGCATGCCATGAGTTAATCAGGGCTACTTTATCTGCTCCAGAGATTTTGTGGGCACGATTGACAGTTTTTGTTTTTCCATCTGTCCAGTATATATAGTCTTCAAATAATGTTAGAGCAATCACCCCTAGAACATGTTGATTAGGGACTGCAATAGAATATAATAACATTAATGTTGAGTTTTGAGAAAGACTTATAATTAAAATATTTTTCATTGCAAAACCTACCCTAAAAGTACCTTCTTTGGAGGCCCTGGCTATTATGCCTGAAGTTGCCTGAAGTTGCTTCACAATCACTATTTATCTTGCTTAACAGGTTATATGTCTTTTAGTCTCTGCCTTCTATTGGAAAGCCTTTTAACAATTGTTTCTCTTTCAGTTTTCTCTTCACTGAATACTTTGTGATACTTTCTCCATTTGATGAATTATCATTCTAACCTAGTCAATCATCCTGCCTGCATTTCTTCTCTATATATTTTCAATCCATATTTCCTTCTGCAATTCCTAAGTTTCCTCTAAGTATCTTCTGAGGATAAAGAATTAGGCAAAATCTGACAATATGTTAAAACAGACACTGTTTTACAAGTGATGTAATCTAAGAATAACTCTCACTAAACTAAACTATCACTAAACTATTACAAAGCCACAAATATAAAAAGTCAAATTCAGCAAAATCTGTGGATGATATATTTTAAAACAAGAGAGACAGAAAAATTGGCAGAAATCAAAGCAGACAATCCTGGCCGCCAGGTGATAACAGCTACTCTATTGTGTTATTTTATGAATTGAATAATTTATGTTGAAAATATCCCCATTTTTAGATATCCTCGTGATAACAATAATTCCTCCAGTTTCCTAGACCAAGCAATTTTAAACTTTAAAAATCATTATCAAATTCAAACTCTGTCTACAATTAAAGGCACTTTTTTAATAAGGAATTATGTTATGAATATGCACACATAAACAAGAGAAATTTCTTTCCAGAAAAAACGAAATCCGTTGTTAAACCAGACAGTGTCAACAGCTCATAAAACTTAGTAATACAAGTACTCAGGATAAGATATTTGTAAACACAGAGATGGAATTAATGTTAAAACTAAAGATTTATCTTATAAGATCACACCATGCGATTGGGACAACCGATGGTAATGTGAATTGTAGGATGACCAGTCAATCACTGAATCCAATATGTCCCTTCATCCCACAGATCTCTATTACATAAATAATGAAAGCTTCCCGCTCTTTCCCTTGTCCTTAACCTCAAAAGTTTAGACATTAATGGCTGTGTGTTGCATTATTTTGAGGGGACAGCACATTTACACTGTTATACAAGCTGTATACTTACTACTTTACTTTGTAGCCAAGTGTCATTTCTTCAGTGTTGTCATATGAAAAGATATACTTAAATATGTACAAAATGTGAGGGAGTGTACTCACTTCTGTGATATACTGCAGGGACGTGCAGTCACTGGAGGCAGGGTAGGCGGGGCGTCACCAGTCTCATGAGGAAAAGGATTTTTTTAAAAAAAT